AGGTGATTGCGAAGACCATGACCTGTATCAGACACACCTTAGTCTCCAAAGAGACACCATTGCTCTTCAGCACTTTGGAGAGGTCCCTAACAGCAGACTTTCCCATTGCAATGCACCTTTTAATTTCCTGGCTGCTGGTGCCAAGACTGTTGACTCTGGAGCCAAGCAAACTAAAGCTGTGTACAATCTCAATCTCTTTGCCATCCATCCTGATGCTGCCATTTGGTCCAGTGGTGAGAATCTTTGTCTTCTTGACATTGAGCCTCAATCCATATTGTAGGCTGCAGTCCTTGACACTCTGCAGCAGGCGCTTCAGGTCCTCTTCAGTTTCAGCAAGCAGGGTTGTGTCATCTGCATAACACAGATTGTTGATGAATCGTCCACCAATCTTGACCCCACATTTCTCCTCCTAGAGCCCAGCCTCCCGGATAATCTGTTCTGCATATAAGTTGAAAAGGTATGGAGATAGGATGCATCCCTGGTGTACGCCCTTCCCAATTTTGAACCATGCAGTGTTCCCTTGCTCTGTTCTGACGACTGCCTCCTGGTCCAAGTATAAGTTTCACATTAGAACGATCAAGTGTTCTGGGATTCCCATTCTTCTCAGAGTCAGCCATAGTTTGTTATGATCTACACAGTCAAATGCCTTTGCATAGTCAATGAAACACAGATAGACATTCCTCTGGTATTCCCTGCTTTCAGCCAAGATCCATCTAACATCAACTACAATATCTCTAGTACCATGACCCCTTCTAAACCCAGCCTGGACTTCTGGTGGTTCTCTGTTGATGTGCTGTTCCAGTCGTTTTTGGATAATCTTCAGTAAACTCTTCCTTGCATGTGAAATCTAGAAATTCTAGAAAGGAAAAGAGACCTAGAGATCAGATAATAGTAAAGAGTTGTTTCTTAATTAGAATCAGGAAAACAAGCAGGAGCCTTGGCTTCTGTTTGGTTGACAATTCTCAGAACTCTCTGGCAAGACTGACAGTTGGGTGAGGCAAGTGAGATGCCTGTGGCTCAAGTCTTTAAGGAGGTTAACAGTGGTTTTCTGAGCATGGCTCCTTAATAGTTAGGCACTAGCTTGGAAGGAGGAGTGGCATCCACTTCCATAATAGCTTGCCTCCGGAAACCCTGTGAACCTGGAGAGAGGATGAAAGGCACCCAAGTGTCGAGGACTCTCCTTCATAGGGTTGCTGTGAGTCCCCTGCGACTTAACAACAACAGTGGTTTTCTGAGCATGGCTCCTTAAAAGTTAGGCACTAGATAGATAACTCACTTGCCTCATCCTGGTGATGAGCTTACTTTCTGGCTGTAATTTTTTTTTTCTTCTTGCTGTAAATTTTTATTAATAAATTTTCTTTTTAGTTAAAAAAGAAGGACATTGTAAGTCAGTCAAAGAATAAAAGAATATTCTCTAGACCTTTATTATTTTCCCTCGTATTGACTACGTGCTTCTGTATTCTTTTCAACTGGTCTTTGGGAAGGTGTTCAATGGGGACTTCACTTATTCATTAGCACAAATTCATTGCATTCCCACAATTTGAAATACTCTGTGCAGAAAGGTACAAGCCATGGGCGAAACAGAAAAGAACAGAAGAAAGGGGAAAGGACAGAAGTGAGAAGTGTCCACAGTAAGGGATGAGGAGTGTATTAGCGTTTCTTCATCGTCTTGCAGCTACATCTTGGTCCTAAAACCAAGAAACTGTAAAACAGCATCTCTTTTTCCATGGGACTGTTAATTTTGTTGTCTTTCTCTCTTTTCATCCCTTTCTTCTGTCTCCTTGTCTTGATCTCCCTGTCTTTCTCTCTCCCTGACCTCTTTTCTTTGTGTCTCGTCTTTTACTCTTCTGCCTCTCTCTTCATATGTGTTTCTGAGTCTTCTTCCTGTCAGTCTGTTTCTCACAGACTGCACACGTCCTCACTTCTGCCTCTCTCAGTAACCCTGCTTCCTTCCTCTGCTTACAGTACTGCTTGTTCTATTATACCTTGGGCTCGGCTTTGACTTACTGTGTGACTTTTGAGTCTGTTGCTTGCTACTGTTAGGATCAATCTCTTGGTATCTGTCCTCATTGCCTATTCCTGGAGACTCTAATTGGCTCATCCTGCCCACCACATAGCTCAGTCAGCTATGGTGGGGAGAGGAGGGGCTATCAGGCACCTCAAGTGTGCTTATTGTATTGCATAGGGGTTTATGGACTGCTGGTGACTATTAACTTGATAATCCCTACTTGATCAACAGAGTATGTCCCTGGGAAGAGCTGCCTGTAGCATGGATTCCTTTGTGCTACTTCTCTTGACCATTGTCTCTCAGCCCTTACCTTGTATAATTAACTAGAAAGCACTTCTCTCAATTGTCAGAACATTGAATGAAAATTTTTTGGAACACGACAGGCTGTCTAGCCACAAGAATTTATTTATGTAAGCCGGCCCCAAGTTGCACCTCTTCACTGAGGGGAGGAAAGTTTAATTTTGACAATTACTGGAGCTCTAGTGGTAAGAAGCTGTGCTGCAGTCCTAAAGGCATGCCATTTTAAGGATGAGCTTTCTCTTTCTGTGATTTGAATCTACTCTGATTTGAAAGCTGGAGCCACTCTTCCGATTTTCTTTGATATTTAACACACCTCCTAAAATCTTTTCCCAGTTTGTAGCACTTCATCTTATAAAAGCAACATAAATAACTTTTAATCTTTTAAAATCAAAGAAATAACAAGGGAGCAGATCCTTCAGGTCATATACTTTTTAGAGAAGAAAAGTCGCGTACAACTAGAGCAGCTTTGTAATATATAGAGGACACTGGTCTTCAGAAAAATTAAAGAGTCCACGTATATGTGCATTATTTCAATTACAAAGAGCTTCTGTCATCTAAAAAATTTTACAAGCTGTATTCAAGTACATTTACTTGTACATCATATAGTTTTATATACAGGATGAAGTTGAGACAAACCTACCCCTCTCCCCACCCCCCAATTAAAATAAAAAACAAAACCCTAAAACTGAACACAAATCAAGGTGACACCAGTCAAACACATATATGCACACAAATATTATGAGATATAATAAAATAAAAATGAATCTTAAATAACAAATTTCTAATTACATAACTAAATTCTATTTACTGAAATTTTCCGCTGTTAGATGATTTTTGTAATAACATTTGAAGTTTACATAAAAATTCTGTTTGGGGAAGGCTAGGTAGGAACAGTGCTTTATGGGGTCACTGTGTTCCCTTCTGCCCTAGAATTCCTTGCATGTTGCTCTCATGTCCTCTCCAGAAGTCAGAGCTGGCCTTATTTAGCAGGGACACTGCAGGAATCTGTGACTCAACCTTCAGTCACTCAAGTGTGTAAACTACTAGTGTGTAAAATCAACAGTGCTGGTGTGATCCTAGAGAGGGTTCAAGTAGACTAACTTCTTAGGGAATCTCTTCAACAGTTGTGAAGTTTGGATAGGAATGGCAATGGATAGGAATGGCAATGAGAATAGACTCAGTGAGGTCCAAGGGAACTTAGGCATGTTATTTAACTTGTCTAAGATTCAGTTTCTTCATCTGCCAGCTCACACTCAACTCAATGCTTAGAAATAACTCATAGCTAACCTGTTGAGTTTAGCTGGTCCATTTGGACTGCCAGAGAGGAGCAGCCTTTGTGTTCACAGTGGAGCTGAGTCCATGGGGAAGTTCTGTTGTGCCTTTGATGGAACCTATTTTAATCACCTTGGTTTTCTAGACCATCAGCCCTTGAACTTGGCTGAGTTTATGATAATGAGGGAGTAGGAACTCAGAAAACCAAAGTGAGAATGGTTGTACACCTTGAAGAATGTAATCAGTGCCATTGAACTGGCCACGTAGAAGTGGTTGAAGTGGTGTGTGTTTAGTTGCATACGTTCTCTCACCTACCAGGAGTAAATAAAAATACCTATTTTGGGCAGAACAGAATTTCAGATACTTGTGGATGAACCCCTGAAACTAATGCTGAGAAACTATGAGGTAATCTTTAAAACATAAATAAATAAAAAAAAACCCTGAAGTAAACAAGATAGTATTTTAATAAATCTTAACTAGTTAAGGAAGAAAACAACAACAAACACCACAGCCAACTACTTTGAGCATTAGGCTTTTAAGTAAGGATATCACTTTAAAGATTAAAGTGCAACAGAAGCATGGTATTTTCAGTTGTTTACCTGCATGTGAAACTTGGACAATGAATAAGGAAGTTGGGAGAAGAATTGAGGCCTTTGGATTGTGGTTTTGGTGAGTAGTGAAGATACCAAAAGAACAGACAAATCTGTCTTGATGAAGTGCAGCCACAGTGCTCTTTAGAGACAAAGATGGCGAGACTTTGGGCTTGTTGTCAGGAGGGACAGACCTTGGGAAGAGATGTGTTTGGAAAGGTAGAGGGTCGTTAAAAGAGAGGAAGACCCTCGTTGAGACAGATTGACATTGTGATGACAACAGTGGGCTTACTCAGGGCAGAGATTGTAAGAGTAGAGCAGGATAACACAAGATTTCCATCTGTTGTTCATAGGGTGATTATGACTTGATGGCACTTAATAACAGCATAGGGCATGCATGTGACACCAGGAATTGGAAGGATCAGATAATCTATGGAGCTGAGTCCAAGAGTGCTGGGACACTAAGGAGTATTTTTTAGCTGGAGGAGTTTGGGGTAACCCCATTTGGTAGTTTTTCTGTGGTGGGTTTTTTTTTTGTTTGGTTTTTTTTTTTTCTGGTTCTCACTTTTCTATTGGTCATTTTGCCTTAGGCAGAAAGGGCAGTAATACAAATCTATACCCAAAGGCACTCGTTCAGGAGAAAGGACAGTCACCTCCCATGTGATTTACAGCCTCTGAAAACACACTGGAGGGGCAGCTATGAGTCACTTCCAACTTGATGCCAATGAAATAAGTTTTGGATTGTTGTTTTTTTTGTGTTTTTTTTTAAAGTTCTCACTCAGCTCAAGCCTTCCGGTAACCTTAAGATCTCCCTGTGGTTTTTCTTCTAGGTCTGCTGACATTTGTGAACTGTGCATATGTGAAGTGGGGCACACGTGTGCAGGATGCCTTCACTTATGCCAAGGTCCTAGCCCTCATTGCCATCATTGTCATGGGCCTTGTTAAGCTGTGCCAGGGTAAGAAGGGCCGAGGTAGGAAGGAGGGTGAATTCTACCAGAAGGTCCTAAGGAGGACATGTGAACTCTGTTAGCTTTGCCGCTTAGAACTTTCTCTGTGTATGTTAAAGTGTATCAGTGATGCAAGAGCCTGTTCCTGGTCTTCAGGGGCTAGGCTGGCTTGGCAAGGTGGACATGAGCCAGGGCTTCTCCCTCAGGGCTGATTTTTCCTTGTGGAGGCTGAGAACATTGCAGGAAGCCAGCCAGAGGAGCACTTGAAGCTTGAGTCATAAAAATAGTCAATTATTGGGGAAGGAGTGAGCTCTGTCTTGGACTTCTTTTCAGTCTTCTGTCACCAGACAAGGAAAAGGAAGACTTGGTTTTCCTTGAAAAGGGTGAGGCTGTGTGTTGGGAGTGGAAGGACAGTTATCTTACAGCCTTTTTTCTTCATTTTGACTTGTTCTTTTTCAGCATTCCTTCCCAAAGCCAGCTCTCAGCAAAATACTAAAATATTATGAGGCCTAGTCCTTCCTGCATGTTGGCTTTAGAACACTTAGTATGTATTCTTGGGTGAGAGGAGTTTGGCAGTAAGGGTTCCAGACTTGCTATGATCTCCTGCACCCCTGGAGAAGCCCTGAGGAGGTGTCTTTGGTGAAGGCTCACTTAATCACACTGGTTCTCTAAACCACCAACCCCAAACTTGCATGCTGAGCGGGTCCTTGTTGGAATGGGAACTTTTTTCCAGGCCTTGGAAAAAGTGTTGTTACATCAGAGTCAGTAGATGCCTTCTTCACCTCTCCTCCCCAGATTGTCTAGTTTTAGGGAAGGAATATGAACTTTCCTGAGGGGGTTATTAGGGTGGGAGACGGCAGAGGGAAGGGTACTGGTGGTAGTTGTTGCTTTTGGTATTAAATTATGTTTCTCTTTTTTTTCTTCCTCTTGCCCTTGTTTTCCTGTTCTTCTATTATTCTGCCCTATCCTCCTCCTTTCCTCATTCTTCCCCTCCCCTTTTCCTCTACATCCTGGTCTCTGAACACCCCCCCCACCCACCTTTTCCCTTACAGGACACTCTGAGCACTTTCAGCATGCCTTTGAGGGTTCTTCCTGGGATGTAGGAAATCTCTCTCTTGCCCTCTACTCCGCCCTCTTCTCATATTCAGGTTGGGATACCCTTAATTTTGTAACAGAAGAAATCAAAAACCCAGAAAGGTAAAGGCGGGATTACATTTGCTCCCCAATTTAGCTGCAACTCCTGCTGATAATGGGTACACACTTACCCTCTTCCCTTCATGTCCTCCCACCCTCCTCTAGCCAAGACGGGAGTGAGTGAGGTGGGAAGCCCTTGGCTTCTCATGGTCCTACTGGAGGCGCTCCAGGGCCTTTCCTACAGGAGAGCTCCCTCAGTGGTCAGCAAGAGACCACCTGGAGCTGAGCTGTTAGGAACTTAGTCTGTGGTGCTTAGCCTACAGCCAGGGGAACCAAAATCTTTTTCTGGGCAACCTGGTCCACTATCTTGTGAGGACATGACTCCTTTCTCCTTCCCAGGGGATTAGACTGTGGTGAGGCTCTTCACAGAGAGAGGTTTCTCTTTTGCTCAGAAGAATGATCCCAGAGACATGAGACCCATACTTACCCTCAGCCTAAATGTCACAGAAATGCCAGTGGAGATGGGATGAACTTTGGCTCCCAAGGGAGGTTGTTTTAGGCCATCTTGTCTTGTTCTGACAGAAATTTGCCCCTGGCCATTGGGATTTCTATGCCAGTTGTGACGCTCATCTACATTCTGACCAATGTGGCTTACTACACAGTGCTGAGCATCTCAGATGTCCTTGACAGTGATGCGGTGGCTGTGGTGAGTCTCTGGGGGCCTCATTCACTCGTTACTTGATCCTTAGTCCCCTGAATAGTCGGTCTAGCCTCTCTGTCTTGGGCAGAGGGTGGACCACTTCACAGTTCCGGAAGCACAGACGTAGGAAGCTTGTGAGACTGTCCTCCTTTAAGTGCCCCTTATTTGCTCTGTCTCCAGACGTTTGCTGACCACGCATTTGGCATGTTCAGCTGGACTATCCCCATTGCTGTGGCTCTGTCCTGCTTTGGAGGCCTCAATGCATCTATCTTTGCTTCATCGAGGTACTGTGTCTCTGCATCACCTGTGAAGTTAATTCCCTGGGGCTTTAGATGAGTCCATGAAGCCCTTTTTCTTTCACCCTGTCCTGGGCATATGGTGATGGTGTGAGTGTATATGTGTTCATATCCACATGCTTGCCTTTTTGCAAGCGTTTGTGTGTTGGTTGTGCATGCTTATATTTAGGGAAGGGGAAGGCAGGCAGAAGTGACTTTTGTAGGGGTGGAGATTCCTTGTAGGTTCTTCCTCTAGGCTCCCCCCCAATTAATTCAGACCCTTCAATTTTGCAACTGGAGATTGCCAATCTTTTTACCATATAGAGACATGGCCTTTAAGTTAGCAATCCAACATACGGGCAGTGTCACCAGAGCTCTCCTGTTTCTGAAAATCACAGTTCGCTCTCATTGTTTTGACTTCAGTTTGCTCCTGTACGCACGTTCTTTTTCACGCTTATACACTGTCCTGGTACTGCCAGCTCTCCAGGACCCACCTTTAAAGAGACAGTGTCTTTCACTTCTCCCAGCCTTTTTTACACATGCTGTTTCCCCATCACTCACTTTCTGGCAAACTCAAGTTATTCTCCCCAGTTCAGATATGATCATCTCTAAAAAGCTTTTTGTGCCTTCAGCCTGTCCTCAAGCCTGCTGAGTGCTTTGTATCCCATATGCTGCTGACAACCCTGGTTTTGTTTGTCCATTAGTCTTATTTTCCAGTCAGCAAAGCTCTTTTTTTTAACTTTTTATCTCAATTTTTTTAATTATTAATTTTAATGAAAATATACAGAGAGTTTGGATTTCCATTCATTCATTGTTGCACTCAACAAAGCTCTTGAGGTACAGAGAGGAAGATAGATGGATAGATAGTCTTTACTTCCTTACCCTGGCTTCTCGCCTGCCAGTGGTTTGCAGGATAATCTGTGGAGGGCGCCAAAAGTCTGACTGCCCTTCCTGGAAAAGCTCTTGTGTTAGAGCTCTGATGCCTTGGTGCATAATGTTTTAGACTGCGAGCCATTAAGATTGGCAGTTAAAATCCACCTGTGCTTGGTGGGAGAAAGACCTTCTTCTATAAAGATTTACAGTCTCAGGAGTGCAGTAGAGGGTCATTGTGAGTTAGACCAGCTTAATGGTAGTGGGTTTGGTTTGGGTTTTATGTTGCGAAGTTGGTCTTGTGTGCTCTATAACTGAAGGTGGTTGGGATCTCAGTGGGTGAAATTGGAGTGGAGCACTCCTGGTTAATGGTGAGGTGTCTACAGCTGTGAGGGTGAGCATGCAGCAGACATGGGGTGCTCCTGAGAGACCGTCCCTGCTTTTTGGGGGGGAGGTGGTGGGGAGGGGTTGTCTGAGCCTAGTTTGTTTGAGTGGCTAAATGGCTGAGGAGAAGGATCCTGCTGATATGTTTCTTTTTTTGTTTCAGGTTGTTCTTTGTAGGCTCCCGTGAGGGCCATCTCCCGGATCTTCTGTCCATGATCCATATTAAACGTTTCACACCCATCCCTGCTTTACTGTTCAATGTAAGCTTGCTGGGGAGTGTGGAGACGCAATCTGCTCAGGGCTCATGCTTACTAACGGGATGCTTTTATGCAGGGCCTACACCAGCTTCCTCACATTCTTTGTAGGCCACCTCTGTTTATTCCTTTTTCCTTAAAAAATAGTGATAGAAGCAAAACATAGTCATATTTTAGAAGACAGGCGCTACAAAAGAATATAAAGATGAGGGTGGGGGAAAAAAGAATATAAAGATGAACTTATAAGGTTTAATTGTATTTTCTCTCAGTGGCTTCTCCTTAAAAAAGTATGCTTAAAAAAGTCAAGCAGTTGTAGACCAACTGCTAAGGCCCCCATTCATACCGATTTAAATATATTTATTTTCATTTTTTTTGACAATTTTATGGCTAAATGGTAGTAAAGTGTGGTTCAACACAAAATAGGGAAATAATGAGTGTACTTCACAGACAGAATCTTAAACAAGATTATCTTTTTCCATTTGGCACAAAAATGTTTTATGGTTTAATAGTTATCCTGAAAAATGTCTTATATTTAAATTTTGGGTTCATAAAGCATTTGTGCTTTTATTTATTTAAGTAGTGAGGTGAAGATTCACTTCAATTATTTCTCAATTGGCGAGCCAGTTGTAATCATGTTTATTTAATCATATCCCCCTACATTTTATCATATACAAATGATAATAGCTAATTATAAAAAGAGCAGATGTAACATGGGGGTGGCTGCTTCATAAAAGGGAACTTTCCCATGGATAATATCCGTAGTATCAGCTTAAATTTTCTTAGCTTCACAATCAACACTCTTTGTATCAGCAGCCAGGAAATCAAAAGATGAATTGCATTGGGGAAGTCTGCTGTCAGGAACCTCTCCAGAGTCCTGAAGAGCAGTAACGTCAGTCTTGAGACGAAAGTGTGCCTGATCCAGGCCATAGTCTTCGCAGTTGTTTGCTATGCATCAGAAAGCTGGACAATGACTAGAGACGATACAAAGAAAACTAATGCCTTTGAGCTGTGGTGCTGGAGAAGAGTATTGAATATACCATGCACTGCTGGGAGAACAAACAGTTTCGTCCTAGAGAGGGTGAAACCAGGCTGCTCCTTGTAGGCTAGGATTCTGATGCTTCATCTGACTTGCTTTGCACATGTTGCAAGGAAGAACCAATCCTTGGAGAGGGACATTATGGTTGAAAGGGTGGAGAGATGGCACAAGAGATGAAGACCCTCAATGATATGGATTGATTCAGTGAGTTGAGGGAATGAGAGTAGGTGTATCAGAGACAGTAAGGTTAGTACAGGATAGCGCAGGTTTCAGGGCTGTTGTACATAAGGGTGGTTATGAGTCGCAAGCAACTTCACAGCACATAACAACAACAACATACAAATAACCCCATGGGCAGACATGCCATCCCACATGCTCCTGCACATATTTGTACCAATCATTGGGTCCAGAGTTCATCGCAGCCTGACTCGGCCTTTATTCACAGTTATGGGTTTTATTAGGCATATAGGTTGGTGAGTAGGGGAGGCAAATCCAGGTTTAATCCAGCAGTCTCAAACCAGATTAACAAGGCACAATTCCTCAGTTAGTTCAAATAGCTTCTCACTTAGCAAGTGGAAGTCTGTATTCAGTTCAGTAGCACAAATACACCTCTCATTTCCTCAGTCACCCAGCAAGCAAAACTTTAATGGTGGCTCCATCTCTAGGGTTCCTCTGATTATATCTTGCCACAGTCTCTCCACAACAGTGACACAGTCTCTTCACGCTATCTCTACCACCATCTCTCATAGTGTGGAAGGGGCTCTCTTATATTGGTTCCACAGCCCTTCATGATATGTAAGACCATATATCCACAGTTAGCTGGAGACCGTGTCCCCAACGGGCTAATACAGTGGATAGAAAAGTCAATTTTCAAGGTCTCTCACATCACACTAATGTTTAAAGTGCTTAATACGTACCAGGTACTGATGTATGTCCCTTAAATATTTATCATCATCATTTACTGAACAAGATAAAAAGTATACCTTTTAGTATGAATTATAGTTCAAAAGAAGTAAAAATCTTCACCACTCAAGCAATAAACATCCTGATAAATGGAGAAAAGATTGAAGTTGTTAAGAATTTAATTTTACTTAGATCCATAGTTAATACACATGAAAGTAGCTGTCAAGAGATCAAAAGATTTTAAAAAAAAGTTGAAAATGAGTTGGGAAAATCTGCTGTCAAGGACTTCTTTAAAGTGCTAAAGAGAAAAGATATCAGCTTAAAGACTAGAGAACATCTGACTCAAGCCATGGTATTTGCATTTTCTTCATTGGCATCTGAAAGTGGAGTAATAAAATAAGGAAGACCAAAGAAGAATCTATTCCTTAGAATTGTGTTGAGGAAATGGATTGAGTATATCATGAACAGGGACTGTGGTAATTCCTCCTGAAAGGAGTCTGACTTCATTCATTCTGAAGTGTTTACAGTAAGAAGGAATGTTTACTCTGAATGTAGGCCTCCAACAGAAGGAGAAATGCCATCTTGAAGGTTAAATGGGCAGGATAATCCTTTCTGATGTCAGGGGACCCCTGAACATAACCTGAGGGAATCTAGTGAAGCCAAAAGAGCATTGGTGGGTCTGTTGCTGACTGCTGAGTGGCAGAGCCTGCCAGGCTGGGCTGATGGTAGTGATGCCCGCTTTCCCCCACCTTCCCACAGTGCACCATGGCCCTCATCTACCTCACTGTGGCGGATGTGTTCCTGCTCATCAACTACTTCAGCTTCAGCTACTGGTTCTTTGTGGGCCTCTCTGTTGCCGGACAGCTCTACCTTCGCTGGAAGGAACCTGAGCGGCCCCGGCCCCTCAAGGTCAGCAGCTCTGGGCAGGTGGGCAGGGTGGGTGCTTGCCCACGTCCTGTTTCCCCATCTCTCCTTAACTAGTTATCTCTCCCTCCTCTTTTCAGCTGAGCCTGTTTTTCCCCATTGTGTTCTGCTTATGCTCCATCTTTCTGGTGATCGTACCTCTCTGTAAGGACACCATCAATTCCCTCATTGGCATTGGCATTGCCCTCTCTGGAGTCCCTGTCTACCTCTTGGGTGTCTACCTGCCAGCATCCCGGAGGCCACGCTTCATCCGGAACGTGCTGGGTGAGCTTCAGTTTAGTCTCTTTCTTACAGGCTCTGTGTGTGGGGATGCACCTGCTTTCACATTCGGGTGCAGGGGTGGTGTAGCCTTTCTTCTAGTGATTTACGGGAGGCTGTGAGGCTTGCCCTGACTGCTTCTCATGGCTTGTTCTTTTGTTTTTGACTTGGGCCTTTTCACCTAGGCTTTTATTTAGGATTGAATAATTGCCTCCAAAATAAAACCACCTGGGAACATGCATGAGTCTGGGTGGGCCTGGGAGACAGAACAGTGAGGGCTGGGGTGAAACCTGGCACAGGGTACCTGAAGGAGCTGTAGATATGCTTTAAGGCAGCTGTGTGGTGTTGAGATTGCATTGTGGCTAAATATCATTTGCTAAATCTTGTGCTTCTTTATCTTCACTTAGCGACCATCACCCAAATCGCCCAAAAGCTTTGCTTTTGTGTCCTGACTGAGCTGGATGTAACTGAAGAGAGAACGGTTGAGAGGAAAACTGACTAGAGATCAGAAGTGCCTTTCAGCTGGCTACTGATAGGTCATCTGCTGAAGGACAAGACTGCTGGGCCTGTGGGGTGAAGGGAGTCACCTCAACACTAAGCCCAGCCTTCCTGGACTAACGGAGCCCTTTCATCCACAGTTCATAAAGGGCTCAGGGCTGATGGCCTGTTTAGGTGGCTTCCACACTGATGAGGAATGGGAGGAGATTCAGAGCCTAGGGGCCACCCTGAAGGTGGGGACTAGGGGAGGGATGGGGGATGGGGGTTGGTGAGCAGGGGGATAAAAGTCTTCTAGTTTTGTTCTTGGGAGCAGTTGCAGCCCTTACTCGAGAAATTGTGTTGGAGGAAGCGGAGGGAATCTAGATTAGTAGCTGTGACTGGTGCTTGTTGAGTTTGCTGGTCTGTTGGAAGGGCGGCTGTATGGAAAGTGTGTCTCTGGTCACTTACAAGCACCTGACTTTAGAAGTCTGAAATGCTGCCATTTCCTCCTCTGGCTCAAAGCCCTTCCTGGCAAAGAGCTGGGTTCCATTATTTGTTGACATGATCCAGGACACCAGTTGTGGTAAAGCACTATCGTTCATTTACTCACAGGATGCAACAGTCTGATTGTACAACTGACAGCCAAGTCCCTCTGCCCTCAGAGGTGTGTCTGTGGGGTAGTAGATGAGACTCTGGTCAGGTTTATGCTTCATTTAGCAGTCTTGTGTTGAGTCTTACCTCAAAAGCAATCTTTAAAGATTTTTAGCTCATATACCTGTTACATTTTATATAGATAAGTTACATGGTACAAGTACCTGGCTCTAGGACAGCCAGAACAGCCGAACACATTGCTGAGTCAGACATCTGATAATACAGGCATACCTCAGAGACATTGCGGACCCCAGCCACACCACTGCAATAAAGAAAGTACAGCAATAAAGCAGTCATAGAAAGTTTTTGTTTCCTAGTGCACATAAAAGTTAGATTTTATACTATAGCCTATTAAGTAAGTAGACGTATTAAGGAAAAGAAGAAACCTATTTGAAATTTGTGAGAATTATCAATGTGACACAGACACCATGTTTGAAAATAATGTCAACATATTTGCCCAGTGTGAAGTCATCACAGACCTTCAATTTGGGTGGTCGTAAGGAACTATATAGCATCTGATGTGCTATGGCTGTATGAGGTATGCCTGTACTGCTATTTTGACAGATAATCTTTATATTGCTTGATATTTCAGGCCTTTCAGTGGATAGTAGGTAAATCTCTGGACTTCTCATACAAATTTTAAGAGGCATACAGTTTTGCAGTTCAAGTGAAACACCTGAGTTCTGACTTTCATTGGCTTGGAGAACACCTCAGGGACCCAGACCACCATATAAGCTTGTTCCTTTCTACAAGGGCTAGTGTGAGGGCTGCAATGCAGACCCAACTGGTCCTCCTGGTGCTGCAGGTCATTTGCTTTTCCGGAAAACCCCACAGCATGCTGCACCCTTCTCCTCCATCAGGCTTTGTTTACACTCTGAGCTGCCCTGGTGTGAGCCATCGGCCTGGTGCACTCCTCCACTGCCTGCTTCCCCATGTCCCAGAGGTCTGGAGGGGCTGCGGTCTCAGGAACCATGGATATTTGGGACTTGTTTTCTCCCTGTGGAGATCAACAAAGACTCTGGGACCAAAGCTGCTTTAACCTCAGTGTGATTCCTCAGCAAAAGATAAGAGGAAGCAACTAATTCTGGCGTTCAGGCTGGACTTTAGCTTCCTGGTCAGGCCAGAGCAGCAGGTTTGGCCTGATGGATCTTCCCTCATGCCTGCACTGGATCTTGGAACTGTCCTGAGATGTCCCCAGGCACTGCCATCTTGGCTAAGAAGAACCTGCTGGCCTGGGAAGCTCATGCCCTTAGGTTTTAGAATTAGTCAACAGTGAAGAGAAGAGATGAGGCAATCTTCTATTCTGATTATTTTCTACCAAACAGGTCCCTGTGAGAAGAAAATAACCTTGCTGATATGCTTGCTCAATAAAGACAGATTAGGGGAACATAGACTACTTTGGAATCAGGCCTTTTATCTTTGAGAAGGGAGGGTGGCCAACGTTCCTAACATTTTGTTTAAATAGCAAATTCCAGACAATAGGGAGGTAAGCTGCAAACCCTAACCTGCCTGAACTATGTATGTCAGCACGATTCCTGTCAGAGCAGGAGCCAAGCTGTCCTCTGATCCTGGGATCCTCTGAAATTAATCCTTTGGGCCGTGTGCCCTTGCCTTGAGGCTGTGACCTTGGATTTGGTTTTCTCCACTTGAGTACATAACACCTAGCTGATCCTCCACCAGGTTTTCAGAGACTGTATCACCTTGGGAGACTGTCATGCTGTCTCCCAAGGAGCAGCTGGTAGATTCAAACTGCCTGCTTTTGGATTAGCAGTGCAGCTAAATCCATTAGACCACCAGGATACCCTTAATAACTAGGTAGTCCCAGAAACTTGCTGCCCTTGAGTGGCTTTTTGGGGCAAACAAGGGCACTACATCATGCTTAGTGAGCCATGCTAGAGAGCCTCCTCTCTATGCTGCGTTAGATTCTCCTGTGATTAATACCTGGGGAGTGAAGCCAGAGACTCCCTGCTGGACTCCTCCAGCTTTATGGTGGAATGAATTTCTTCTAGGTCTTTTTGTCTGTCTGAAATCCTTTTCCTGGGGAGCTAAGCCCTTATGCACTGGCAAACTGATGATGTTTGCCTCCCCTTTCACGTTGGCAAAACTTGAGAGAGTACCTAATCAGCATTGAGCACATGGGAAGTGTCAGAATGGATTTTTATCCTTTGTTTCTATGCCTCCTGAGAAAGACCAAATTAAAGAGATGATTGGTGTCAGACATGTGAATTGCTAATACCTGAAATATTCACTGTGCTTTAGTGGATATTTAGGATGAGAAATTTAATTAGCCTTGACAACAGGGCCAAAGTATACAGTTTAATCTGATGTTGACAGGTTAACTTCATGTAGACAGAACCTGTTTACCATAAAGTAGGCATGGACTCATAGCTGACCCACCTTTGGGTTTTTTAGAGGTAGTCACAGATAATCAGTCAAGATATACACAATGGATGTTAAGTAAAAAAATGGGGTGGCAGTGGGATCACAGTAGAATGACAAGTCATACCACCTCCCACCTACCTATTCTTTAAGATTTCATAAGCCTTTCTACTTTTATGAAATCTTAACAGCACTAGGTAGTAAGAGAAAGCAACTCTTGTCATTTGCCCTTCCCCAATGCTGGTGGCTTGAGGGTGGGATAAACTGTCAGGGTCACTAACCACAAGTAGCTCGTTAATTTTTTATTTTTGTGTATGTGCTGTCAAATCAGATCTGACTTGTACAGGAGATTGTCCCTCCTTCTCTAGCAGAGCATCTGGTGCATTTGAACCGCTCGCCTCGGATTGCAGTGCAGCTGCTTGCTACTAGGCCACCAGAGCTCACCGCTGGTTAAATTTTTTCCCCAATTTCTCCATTTTGAGTGCTCACCATGCGACTTAGCTAGTGGTCACTACTACACAGTGCAGATCTCTGTTCTGCGTTGTCATCACAGCTCAAAGTTCTATTGTTTTTGGTTTTTTTCTTTTTTTCCTTGGAATGCCAAATCAGATCCAACTCACCCAGGAGGAGACTCCCCCTCTTCCAGAGGAGCATCTGGTGTATCTGAACCACACCTCTTTGCAGCACAGCTTGCCACTAGGCCACCAGAGCTCCTTAAAATTATATTGGACAATTTAGGGGGTAACTGCAAACCAACCCATCAACCAGTCAGGCTGCTGTGGACCATAGACTTCCAAGAGAACAAAACAGGCTTGTCCTAGGGAGTGTGAAGCCAGGCTGCTCCATGTAGACTTCTGAGGCTTCCTCTGACATGCTTTCAGCATGTTGCAAGGAGGGACCATTTCTTGGAGAGGGACATCATGCTTCGAAGGGTGGAGGGACAGTGCAAGAGAAGACCTTCAGTGGGATGGAATGATTTAGTGACTGGGAAAATGGGGCTAGGTGTGTAAAGAGACAGGCTGGCACAGGATAGAGCAGGTTTCTTGGCTACTGAATAAATAGGTCTTAGTAAGTTTGTTTCTAGTGAATGCTGAGGATATTGAACTCTGTCAAGTTCTAGGTGTGCTTGCTTTTCCTCACTTGTCTGTCCTTGGTCAATACAGAAACTTCGCTTTCTCTACTTATTTTAGGGGCTAATGAGTATACTTAAATATAAAATGAGAACACGTAAAGACTTGCTTTCAAGTTTGAAGTCAGTCTTTAACGAAGAAACAATATCATGTTTATGCACATTGTTCCTTGGTACCATCCCCAAGGAAGATCTTAAACCATCATGGGTCAGCTATTAATTTAAATCTCGTACAACTCAGGCGATTCTACTTTCTACCTTTAGGGCCATTCAGTTTGTGTTCCGTAGCCCTTTTAGATGCCCTCTACAAAGACAAATAAGTTAGTGGAGACAGGTAACTTGGCAACAGATGTAGTACGGAAAGCAGAACCTTACTACTGATGAAACAGTCTTGAGTCCCTCCTTCCTTATTAGCTTCAGAGCAGGTGAAGAAGAAAGCATTTATTCACCAGACAAAACGGATGATGAAGCAAAGGAAGTTTTCTTTTTAGTGCATCTTTCAGACTGCAGGGTCTCTTCTGATTGAGTCAAAAGGGCCCTGTAGTTAATAGGAAGGAGTCACTCCCTTCGCGTGTGGAGGCATCGTTGGGTCCTCTTTCCCTACACATGACAACATAAAACCCGAGAGGATGCCACCATGGCAGCTGATGCTGTAGTCACAGCCCTAAAGGCAGGAAGAACTTTTGGCATCACAAGTTACTCAGTCTGAATCCAGGGAGCTCTCGTAGCCAAACTCCTCCTGCACATCCAGAGGGTATTTGCTTCTCACGTATGGTCTGCTGCCAGCTCGCTCCTCTTCACTGAAGCCATCATCTTCATCAGAGCCTAGAAGATACCAGGAACAGTTCTAGTTGTAATTTTCAAAGCTACTGTGAGATCCACTCCCCTGCTCAACAAGATCTGGTTTCTATTCCCCATTAGAAAATACTGCTCAGTGAAGAAACCTGAGAAAATACTTTGAATGATTAAAAAACCCAAACCAACACAACTCTAGAGTCTCTTTTCTCATGGACTATTTTGTCTGGCATTCTCCCCCAAATCCATTATGGGATTTTTCTGTTATATTTGCAACTGAACCCTTCCAAGTCTGTCTAGTCCTTTCTTGACTGAAAATAAGGAAAGGGACACTAAGCTAGATGTTTCCCTTTCAACAAGTTGGTATAATACTCCCTTATTATATGGATTAATAAACATGATGCTCGGGGGATGAAGTACCATGCCCAAGACCGACAGCTAGGCAGAGGGCAGAACTAGGGGATTTGAACCCAGGACTGACTTGACATTAGCTGCCAGCAAACAGTGGTGCTTGGTCTCCCTAAGCTCCAGTGACCTGTGGTTGAGCTGCTGGTGCTCTGTGGCAGGGACCGAAAGTAGTCAAGGTGTGTCTGTGAGCTGTGCTCACACCTCAGCCTTGGATCCCATCATTCCTCTCTATCTGAGGCTGCCCGTTACCTCTGTAATAGTCTTCTTCATCACTGCTGTCCTCCTCTGGGTACTCATTGCGCCAATTATTCTCACAGTTCTCGTCGTCTTCATCTTCATAAACCTCCTCAGCTTCTTGGTCGTCATCCACCTGCACATATCAACACTAATATTAGTCTAGTCAAAACATCTAAGGTTATACTCTTTAGAGGAAGGTATTAAGTAGATCAGCTTGGAGAGAAATCATTTATGGGTGCATGAGAGAAAGAAGCAGATGACGAATCAGTCTGATTTTGTTGTACAAAAAGCTGTAGTCACCCGGACTGTGAGTGGCAGATAGTAACCAGAGCCCACTCAGAATTTAGATTCAGGTACCACTTTTGTGGTACTTTTTCTATTAGAAAAAGCTGAACTCTACCAGAAGGGAACACCCCAAGGTGGGGAGACACAGTGGTTCTGAGCAGTTAATGACAGCCAGGTAAGAGAAGGAATTGCAAGTTATGGGTGCTGCTAAAATCAGAATCAAACCGACAAGTGAGGGGTACAGAGAAGGTAAGAGGGGGGACTCTATAGCAGTCCTGTACACGTGCCTGTGGGTATACAAGGGATAAGGTGCTGCTTTCATTATGTCTGACAACTTCTGTGATCAATCATTTTAGAATTTAAAAAATGTTAGGATGGTAGCCATATTTACCCACGTGTTTCCCTCACTTTTTGCGATAACTAGATAGAAATAAACAACAACAACAAAATGATGCTATAAATCTTGTGAGAGAATCACTAGGAACAAAAACTAGCCTGTAAACTAGTTTTACCAAAATGCCACACAGCAATCCTGGATTCTAAAAGGAAAAGAAAACTAGAATGGACTCCAGAGAGACAGAGGCACTCTGACCAGAGAAGCTGCCTGGGTTGTCGCATGGGTCTCCTTACCAACTCCCATTCCTGGCTGTAGGGCTGCACTGACAGGATGTTTTCAATCCACCCTGGAGTGGCCATCTCCAAGCAATAAATGTCATACACATATTCGCCCTCTTTATCTTCCGCTTGTTCCCCGTCTCCTGGGCTCTTCTCAGAGATGACCAACCGCTCACGGATCAACTCTGTGGAATTGCAGAGGATCGCAGCTGGGTCAGATGTCTGAAAAGAGAGATGCGTGACTGAAAACATGGAATATTTTATGTAACTGAAAAACCAGTGTGAGGAAGATTCCCCACTGGATTAAACAATGCTTATACCTATGAACCATCAATCTCTTCTTGGTTACCTACATAATGAAAAACAAAGTGCTATAAAATGAATGTTTAGTTCTTTTGAATTAGAAACCTACAAGACAGCCCCTGTTCCTTTGGGCTTGGTTGACAAGGGGAGGGGCCCAGCTTCAGAGGGTAGGGCCAGCAGGACATAGAGCTTGTCTGTAGGCTCTGAGTCAGATTTGCCGTTGAGCAGCTTCTGTATGTTCTCAGCTTCTGTATGTTCTCCGTGGGATTCCTAAGCCCGCTGTAGTACCTCTGTGGCTGATCCTCAGATGGGTCTGTGTTTTGTGTGGCTTCCTACAGGGGAGCTTCAGGGGTTAAGTCCTGAACTCTGCGACTACTTACAGCTAAACTCAACTTGATGTCCTGGAGGAACTGACTCATAAATGACTTCTGGTGGGTTTTCAGAGACTGTAAATCGCATGGGAGGAGACGCCCATCTTTTTCTCTTGAAGCAGCTGGAGGCAAGGATTTTGAGACTCCGCCTCATATACTTTTGGCATACTGCCAGGAGGGACCAGTCCTTAGAGAAAGAAATTATGCTTGCAGGGGTGGAGGGTCAGCACAGGAGAGGAAGACCATGGATGAGAAAGACTGGCATGGGGTATGTCATGAGGCTAGGAGAAGATTCACAGCCATTGTTCATAATGACGTTCTGAGCTGTAGTCAACTTTATAGCACATTTTTAACAAGAAAAATCCCTTGGAGGGTCAGATATGACTCACTTCCCACTCAACAGCATATAACAACTCAATCCTTGTTGGTTTATCGTGTGGCAGGATCATTACACAGCTTGTACATTGTATTAAATACATGTATTTTAGGGGCACACAGTTCAATCCATGACAATCTCTATATACAGTGCTACAACAAATGTTCTCTTTGCTGCATGTGAAAAACAGCATCTACCTCATAGGGTTTGGGTCAGGATGAAATTAATTAAATGGGAAGAAAACAGGCCAATGCTTGACAATATGAAGAACTGAGGAGCTACGGTGGGGTAGTCTGCAGAGAGGTGTGTCAACCAAAAGGCAATGTTTCTCCACGGGTTTAAATAGAGCAGCAGCTCTATGCGATGGGCAGTTTTCTCCCTTGCAATTTAGTCTCTAAAAATCTGCTGGAGGGTCAGCTCTAAGTTGGTTCTGACAGCAATGAGTTCGTGTTTTATTGAGTGAACAGAACCAGAACCCAGCTAACAACAACCAACAGAAGCTTTTGTTAATACTTATTTTTGTTTTCCAAAAGGCTTGTATGTACAGTTGATACCAGGTCAATCACAGCATATCCACTAAATCACACCTCTCACTAAAAGTATCATCAGGTACTCCTTCCCTGTGTGTCTGGTAGGCATAAACCAATCTGCGAACATCTTTACATTTACAGTTTATATTGCTACATTAGAAAAATGTATTCATATACTCTTAACAGTTTTATCTACTAGTTTTTATTATAAAAATACAATTAAACGAGGTAGCTGAGTTAATTCCATTGAATACGGGTTTACTTCTAAAAATGGATAACTCATGACTCCATCTAGAACTGGTTTTGGTTAATAAAGTGGCTGTGGCTCTTATACCTAGATTGCCAGCCAGGTGTACAAACATTATGATAATGTGTTCTGATTTATTTTGAATTAAAGTTTCCTTTTTTCCAATTTCACAAAGCATGAAAGAGTGACTTTTTCCCCTTCTTTCTTTACATATTTATTAACAGAGTACACCTCCTTGTTAAGTTCCATGGAGTGGAGTAGGGCTCACAGTGATGCTGTAAATAACTGATCTGAACCCTGTCCTATCCTCTACCATCCTTATCATCCCTAACACATTCAAGCCCACTGCACAGAAACTGACTGCATCGTCTCCTTTGACTATCTTAGGCTTCTATTTTCCCCTATTTTTGGGCTTCAATGGGTGTTACACTAAGCCAAAGTATGTTTCTATCTAATACAGTAGAAAGCATACTGGGTTAAATTCAGGACCGGCATCATTCTAGACCTAACTCTGCCGTAACCTTGATAACCCAAAGTTAATTCTTTAACCTCCTTCTGCTGTTTTCCCATCTTGGCTCAAAACCCTTCAGTTGCTCCCCTTCTCAGTCAGGGTGAAAAGCAGTGTCTTCAAAAGTACCCTGAAGATCTAACGTTTTGCTAGCATCCTCACAAATTCCTTCCCAGTATCCCACAGCTCACTGATCTCAGCACACTGACTTCCTTGCAAAGAGCGGGTAAACTTGACCTCAATGTCTTTGCAGTTGCTGGTACTGGCTTATATGTCTCTTAAAAACCCACAATGTTCAGCCACTCACCTCACTGAAATCTTTACCCGGATATCATTTTCTCATTGAGAACTGCCCTGGATCACACAATTTGAAATGACATAACTTTTCCCACTGCTAATTGATTTCTCCACATCCCTTATCACCACCAGAGACGGAGTTTACTAATTTAATCCTTCTCTACCTGATTGTTCTTTTGTTGTTATCGAAACTGACAACACCTGGCATAAAAAGCGGGCGTTCAGCAATGAGCCCAGCACGGCAGAAGGCTCATTCATTGCTCAGAGGAAGCTGCCCTGCTTCCCGGCCTTGTACTGCTCAGCCTTTGGACTATTCCTCCACGAGCCGCTAGTTCCCGCCCCTGGATGCGCACTTACTTGGCAGGATCTCGCGCCGGTGGCCTCTGGGTCTCCCTCCTCGTGGACTAGGTCGAAGAGCTGGAAGCCTGTGCTGCTCGTGGCTTCGACGGCTTCCGTCCTGTCCTTGGACTCAAGGCAGTCCAAGGGAGTCTCCGAAGATCGGCGGCTAGAGACCACCCGGTAGCGGCCTTCCCGCTGGATGTCCCGAGCCGACGCGCGGAGGGCACTGCGGATGCGCTGGTGGCTGCCTCGGGATGGGTGCAAGGCGGCCCGCACGTGCGGATGGACCGGGTCCTCCTGGGGGTGCAGAAGAGGAGGAGAGAGCGAGCATAAGTAGGAGTCAAGGGTTCACTTTCATCCTCCCAGGATCCTCTCCCCACTCGCGACATTCCTCTGCCTGAAATCGCTCGGCGGCCATAAGCATAAAAACAGGGATCAGGAATATCGCCTTCAACCCCCTACCCCAAGTTCCTCTCTCCACCCGCGACAATCCCCTACCTGCGAGCGGACGGTGGCCACAAGCTGGAAGACATTATTCTCTGACGCACTCGGCAGATCCTCGGAGGGCGTCGTCTGAGGCGATGATTCGACTGTGCTAACCCGCAGCCGTTTACAGGCGAGGACAAGCGCCTCGGCGGGCTCTGCGGTGCGCTTCCGCTTCACCCGGAGCACAGCTGTCCTCCCGGCCTCCATAGCGCCTGTAGTGGAACACTATGGGAGCGCGCGGGGTGAGCGGAAGAGAGTCTTTAGGCCCCGCCCCTGTCTCAGGCCCCGCCCCCGGCCTCTGCCCTCGCACGCGCAGCGCGCACGCACTGAGGCTCCGCCTCCGCACGCTGATCTGGGAAAAATGGCGGCGTTGGCTGGAGTGAATGGCTCGGGTTCGGTGGCGGGTGAGGCGGCGGACAGGTTGGGAAGGTGGGGTGTCAGGAGTGTTTGGCGTCTTGTCCGCAACTTCAGGGCTCAGGTGGAGGGGCTCGGCAGGGCGTCGCGAACCTCGAGCGGGGGGTACGCATCTCTTCAGGAGTTCCGCGTGGGCCGCCTTGGCCGTGGGGAGGGAGGCGTCCCTGGCCAGCCCTGGTTCTGTCGCCTAGCCACGCGATTGCGACTCCTTGGACCCTTGGCTTGGCACATCCGCAGATGTTGTTGTTGTTATGTGCCGTCGAGTCGCTTGCGACTCATAGCAACTCTATGTACAACAGCCCTAAACCCTGCTCTGTCCTGTGCCAATCGCACTGCCTCTGACACACTCATCCCCATTACCCCAGTCACTGAATCAATCCACCTCACAGAGGGTCTTCCCCTCCTGCGCTGTCCCTCCACCCTCCCAAGCATGATGTCCCTCTCCCACAGCATGTCCAAACCTAACATCCGCAGATAGGTGGATCAAATACCCACATTCATACCTGCCTGGCCCCTCCCCTCTGAGCGACACAGCGGGACCGAAGTCTGTGGAGCCTCAGCCATCTCCTAACTGGACCGCGCTTCTCTGGGAATTGGTGTTGGGCCCGCCAGACACCGCCCCCTACACCCCACCTTGATTATATTCTGAATTGTTAAAACCCTGCTTGCACCACATGCTAGCACCATGGTCATTCAACATAGAGGTTCTTGTGGTGTTTTTTTTTTTTTAAATTTTATTTTTATGTACGTGTACCGTCAAATCAGACCTGACTGGTACTGAAGGAGATTGTCCCTCCTTCCCCGGCAGAGCATCTGGTGGATTCGAACCGTGGACCTCTGGGATTGTAGTTGCAGCTCCTTACCACTAGGCCACCAGAGCTCTGCGAGGTTCTTGTGTTTAAAACCCTTGGGTGACGGCTGCTGTACTGAAAACAAGACGCAAAAACATCTTTGATTTGCCGACGCTTTCCTCTGTCATTTCTTAAGGTGCTTCATTTACACAGGCTTTTTTAGACAGGTTTTCCCCAGATTCCTAGTTCTTGACGCAGTAAGATCTTAGGAAACGTTAAACTTGGCTCCTCTTGTAGGTCTTAGTTTAAATGCCAGGCTCCTCAGAGAATCTTCTCATAAGCTTGCCATTCCTGTAAAGCACCCTATGTTTTCATATTCGCACAGATTGTGGTGGGGTTTTTGTTTACTCTTACTTCCACTGTAGAGCCTAAAGCTTGCCTGTCTTGTTTACGGGGAGTGCTCCTGTACCTAGTACAGTCTGGCATATAAGACGTACTGGGTAACATTTGAATGAGTGAGGCTAACTTCTCAGGAATCCAGCTACTAATGCACACAGGGCTTGTGCTCTAGTTTCCACGCCCTCGTAAATGATCTGAGTGCACAGCTCTTGAAGTATGAAGATACAGGATATCTTGGGCTGGAACGTGAGCCTTCTCTTAAATAAATCATAATAGATAAGGGGATTTATCTGGGTAGAATGCTAGTGCTACTGCAGAAGAGGATTTTTGAATCATAAATACAGCATGTGGTTCCATCCTCAAGTGTTTATTTAGATTTACATGAAACCTGTTACTTCTCTGCAGTTGCCTCATTAATGTAATAGACAAAAAAATTCCATTGAATAGAATATACTACTACATTTAATTGTAAATGAGTGCAGAATTATACAGGTTTCACGCGGACCATAAGATACACATTTTAAGACCACAGTTGGGAGCCCTTAGATACTTTTGACTCCTTGTACTTCCCGTCAGCCGAACTGATTTATTCACTGCCTGCCTGTCTGTGCCTTTATGAATTGGTAAAGTGCCTATTCCTTGCTATACCTGCAAAGCCTACCCATCTTTTAAGCCGCCTCTTACTTCTAAACCTGCTCAGTCACACAGGGGCCTTTCATTCTCTCTGATATGGAATCTGTTGGACAGCTTTTCTAATGCATGTAACATACTGTGCTAATGCTTGGACACCCTGTCAAGTTTTATAACTATCAGTATATGAGGTATAGCAAGTTGAGTATTGTAATGCTTTTCATTGGTAGTAGATTGCAACACACCAGCAAATAACCTGATTAGTATAGAGGATCATGACCAGCGGTTGAAAATAGAAAAATTCAATAGAAAAATATCAGAGAAATGGAAATCCAAAATCTAGGTAAACATTCATTAAAATAAAAAAAGAAAAATATCAGAGAGTATTGCTTATGGGAAGGTAAATTACTGTTTTGTGAAACGTTGTAAGGTATATACGTATGAATGTGTGCATATTGATTTTCAGAGTAAAGTTCTTATTGGATCAGAAAGTTTGATGTGCTAGGATGTTAGCAGTGGAATTTTACTGAAGGACACAAACATGCTTGGATTTTAGAAGTGGACTTTTACCAGATGATAAATTGATTGCTTTGAATCGGGCCAGTGACTGTCTTAATTAAAAAAAAAAATTCTGAGCTTGTATGAGAATTCAGTTTCTACTTTGTATTTTTTTTAATTATTTTATTTATGTGTGTGTGTGTGTGTGTGTGTGTGTGTGTACTGTCAAATCGGATCTGACTGGTACAGGAGGAGATTGTCCCTCCTTTCCCGGCAGAGCATCTGGTGGATTTGAACAGTGCACCTGTGGGATTGCAGTGCAGCTTCTTGCCACTAGAGCTCCCCTCTACTTTGTATTTGTGATGATTCAAACCAAACCTACTGCTGTCGAGTCGATTTCAGCTCATGGAGACCTTGTAAAGCTGAATGAAAACCATCCTGTAACTCTTTATGGAAGCTAGCTGTTCCATCTCTTTCCTGAAGAGTGTCTGGTGGAGTCAAATGTCCAACCTTTGGCTAATAGTGAATCATTTAACCACTGCACCACTAGGGCTGCTTATATTTGTGACTAGATAGATTCAAAAGAAAGTCAACAATTGGTGAAACTGTCTCACATACTTCAGACATGTTGTCAGGGGCAATAACGTCAGGTTTGTCAGAGATAGGATAAGACCGGTTTCAAAGCCGTTGTTCATAAGGTAGACTTGATGGCACATGACGACAATGAATATTTTGACAGTTGTTTTTTTTGCATGTGTGTGTACTGTCAGATCTGAGTGGTACAGCAGGAGTTTGTGTTTGTTGGCCATCTGAATGTCTTTTTTTGGTGCAGTGTCTGTTCATACCTGTGCCCATTTTTCAGTTGGGTTGTTTACCCTTATCTTGTTGTGGTGTTCGAGTATTTTATAAATTCTAGTTATAAGTCCCTTATCTGACATGTCACTACCAAATATTTTTTCCCAATCTGTAGCTTCCTTTTTTACCCTGTTGGAGAAATTTTTGCATGTGCATAGGGATTAGATTCTTAGAAGGTCACATTCATCTATTTTATCCTCTCCTGGTTGTATATTTTTCAGGATGCTTGGAAGACTGTTTATGTTGTGGATTAGGACTTCTTGAGTTCTTCCAGACTTTTCTTTAATGAAGTTTATAGTCCTTGGTTTTCATCCTAGGTCCATGATCCACGTTGAGTTGCTTTTTGTGTATGGAGTGAATGTGGATCTTTCTAGAGTTTTCTGCAGGTAGTTTTATAATATTATGAGGATTATATCTGTAGCTGTAATTCATTCAGTTACAGGATACTTTTCACACAGTCTAATCTGATAATTTTCCTGAACCAAAGTCTGCATGATAAACTGACACCTTATTAGACCTAAACGAGAATTCCTTTATTGCTGTCTTATATCTCTTTTTCTCCTGGCCCATCTGTTCTCATCCTCCTGTACCTGATAGCTTCACCCATATGCACCCAGTTGGCCTTTTTGGGGACATGTAGAGCTGCCAGCACTCCCATCCTGCTTTACAGATGTGTGTGTTATTGTAGTGGATGTTACATGCCGAATAGTAAAACCAAACAACTCTTGATGGGAAGATCAACATACTAATGACATTTTTCAGTGGCTTTGACACTTTTGTCAGTTGCTTGAATTGCCTCCCCCGCTTTTTGTCTTTCTCCCCTCCCCATATTTCTGTTCTCAGGTTGTGACTAGGTTTCTGACAACCAGACCTGTCCAAAGGGAGCTTGCTGGCCAGGCTGCTTTCCCCTGAAACTGAGGAGCTGAGCACTAGCACCATGAAGATCTTCTGCGGACGAGCAAACCCAACCACAGGGTCCGTGGAGTGGCTAGAGGAGGACGAACACTATGACTACCACCAGGAGATTGCAAGGTAACGGCGGCTTGTTCACAGCTGGGTGTCCTGGGACAGGTAACTTAGTCTCCAGGCAGATGCCTTTGACTTCATTCTGGGTGTAGACAGGCTGAGAATCAAGGCAGGCATTTGTCAGAAGCAGATGGGCTCAGAAGGGGGGTGGGGTTCCTGCAACAGGTGAACTGGAGAACCGGGAGGCAAATAGCCAAAGGTGAAGCTGTGGGTCAGCACTGAAATCTGTGGGAAGCTTATTTTGTATGCAGTCTTCCTGACAGATCTCACTCACAGTTCCCCAGCTGCGGCTTGACAGGATCATCCCTGGGCTCATCTGATCTATCCAGAGTCAGGGTGAGGGGCACACATTTGTAACTTTTTTCCCCTGGGAAATGTAGAGAAACAGTTCTGTCCCCTTTAACACTCTGGTTTGGTCATCATCATCATCACATCCCTAAAGACATAGAGCCCTTTGCATATGTGTCACATACACACTTGTTCTAGTTCCTCTCTGTCGTGTTAGATCTGTGGCTGTCCCATGTATAAGCACATGCCCAGGCTTATAAAATAGAAGGCAAAGCAAGCCCGAGTTTTTCCTGAATAGGAAATTTCTCCAGTGATCAGAAATGGTAATGGCTGTAGAATTACTCTCACGGGGACATATTTAGGTTTGGGATTCTTTGCTGAAATGGAATACCTGTCTTTGATCCTGTTTTCCTGTACTAGAAAATGAGAGCTTAGTAATCTATCAAAATAGGTTGTTTTTTTATTTATTTATTTATTTATTTATTTTTTATTTTTTGTGTGCGTGTACCGTCAAATCAGATCTGACTGGTACAGGAGGAGATTGCCCCTCCTTCCCCGGCAGAGCATCTGGTGGATTCAAACCACGCACCTCTGGGATTGTAGTTGTAGCTTCTTGCCACTAGGCCACCAGAGCTCCCCTATCAAAATAGTTTAACCTCGGTGTAGGTGTCATGTCCGTTTATCTGATTGGGAATGCCTTTATAGATGATAGATGTGAGTAGTCTCAGGCGTGGACATAGATGATTAGCAAAAGTATCTGACTGTGTTTCTGTTTTGTTTTTTTTTAGGTCATCCTATGCAGATATGCTACATGACAAAGACAGAGTAAGTCTGAAAGGAAATCATTACTTCTATGGGGTTGTGAAATCTTCAGTTAGGAGTACCAACCAGTTCTGCCAAACTACTAACAGATGAAAGATACACCTGTGTGAGTGTTGGCCATAAGTCTTTAAAGTGCAAAGAAATAGGTCTTTTTAAGATGCAGAGAAATTATTTCCCAAGTGGAAAGTTTTAGAAAAGGAGGTGGTACGATTTTTGAGACCATTCAGGAAAACAAAGTCACACTGCACATTTCAGGCCGAGAGAAATTAATACAGGGAGTTGGTTACACTGATGTGCTGAGCTCATTGATTGTGAGTGATTTTAAGAAGCAGTCGGGTTAGGGAAGAGCAGAGCAGAGAGATTCCAGAACCTAAAAACACTGCGGAGCTGGTGCTAAGATCTGAAAGAACTCAGCTGGAGGTTCCTGAATGCTCAAAGAGGCTGCTGTGGGAGTATTGAAGGAAGCTGGGTCCTTTTTCGGTGGGGAGCAGCAACAGGAGTCTAGAAGACTGGGGAGAGCAGCATTTTACAGCAGGGAGCCAGCTGCTCCTTTCCACTTTCCATCGACTCTTTAGTTCCCTGTTGGCTGTACCTCACACAGCGGGTGTGGGAGGGAAAGATGGTTTAATAAAGGGCAAGAAGCTAACTCAGTTTTCAGAGTCTTAGCAAGGACTCTCTGGATAACTAGCTGAATTTGTTCTTGGGCAAATGCTTCCTGCACTGTTACTGTCAGCTATGACTCTGACAACAGAGTACTTTTCCCTGTGTGTCTCACTTGTGATAACTAAAATAAGTGACAAGTTATTTCTCCCTTCCTTTTAGAATATAAAATATTACCAGGGTATCCGGGCTGCTGTGAACAGGGTGAAAGACAGAGGACAGAAGGCTTTGGTTCTTGATATCGGCACTGGCACGGGGCTCTTGTCTATGATGGCAGTCACGGCAGGGGCAGACTTCTGCTACGCTATCGAGGTGAGCCCCCCTCACCAGTACATGTCCTGTGTCTTTCACAGAAGTCCCAGATGACATTATGTTCTCTTCTATTTGTTCACCAACACTCACGGCGTGCTCCCTAGACATAGAGAATTTCTTTTGCCCAGTATGAATGTGACTTGGACCCAGTCCCTGTTTTCTCTGCACACAATGGTTCTCAGCGTTGAGTGCATGTCAGAGTTCCCTGATGTCTGGTCCTACTCACAGAGATTTTGATGTCATCATTCTGGGGTGGGGCCTTGCCATTGAGTGTGTGTGTGTGTGTGTGTGTGTGTGTGTGTTTGTGTGTGTTCGCCGTTGTTGAGAACTGTTGTCTTTAGTTCCCTGAAGCTGTCCCAAATGCTTGATAATAGTTTTGCAATCTCTTTTTTTCTTTCCTCTTTAATGAAACATTAAATGTGCTGTTTTCTGATAATGTGAAATTTTTTCCCCTTTCTGTTCATAAGACATTTATTGAGCACATGCTCCACGTGGATGTGAACAGGAGAAGCCAGGACTGGCAGTTTAGTGGGCACGTGGGAAAGTACCTGAAGACCCTTCCCCACGGAAGCTGTTTCAACTATGCTGTCAGGCTTTGCTTCCCAACAGTCCTTGTGGCCTCAAGTCCAGGCTTTCCCCCAAATCCAGCTGGTGAAAGCAAGGCTCACAGGAGGAAGGCGAGGGTCCTGAAGACTTCCCAGCCGCTTTGGAACCTGTGCCTACTCCTCGGCTGTGCCCTGGGTCTTGTGTCCTAGGTTTATCTGGCCGGGCGAGCTTCTTGCCAGCTGGGTTGCGGGTGGTGTAGCTGCAGACAGGGGTAGCCGTGATGAGCGGCCAGAAGTGTCAGGTGTGGGGATACTTCCCATAGCACCACAGTGTGGTCATGTATAAACTCTCAGGATGGTGCACAACACCATGCCAGCCTCATCCTTGCGCACGTGGAACTGGTAGATGGCCCAGGACTCGGCATTGTGTTTGCATAAGGAACACAGGTGTTCGAGAGTCTGCAAGGATTCCAGGCTAGGTCTCTGATCCTCTGGACCTGGCACTGGCTCTGGCTGGGGATCCAGCCTGGTCTCAGGCTGCTTTTTCTCATGCAGAGCCCCTACTAGGCTTGCCAAACCCAGATAGTCTGTCCACAAGTTGAAGGTCCCCATGCTAGGGGTCAGGCAGAGGGGCAGAGAGAAGTGGCCTTGCCTTAGCAGCTCAGTCCCTTACCCCTTCCTCCCTGTCCCCCCCTGGAGCCAGGGAGTCTAGGCAGTCTGTTGCCGCCTCTTCCTTCAAGGGGGTATGAAAATAAATATTTTGCAGTAAATTTTTTGAAAGTTTAGTTAAGTTTGCCATTGAATTCTTTCCCCTGCAGAATTGGCTTCAAGTGATGATTGAATAAGAAATGTTAAAGTCCCAGAATTAACAGTGGCTTAAGCAGGTGATGTTTTTACATGAAATTTTCAGATCAGGCTCTTCCTTTCCACTGTTGCTTTGTAATTAGACTCAACCAAAGGATCAGGATGATGTGGAGAAGGTGTTGGTAGTTCAGCGCAAGGACAGTGGGCCTGGAGCCCTGGTGGCACAGTAATTAAGTACTCAGCTCTAATGAAAGGCCAGTGGTTAGAACATGCCAGCTGCTCCACACAGCTGTCGGCCAGCTGCTCCACACAGAGAGCTGTCGGCC